TGTGTGTGTGTGTGTATTGTACTTTTATCCTTGTAAGGACCAAACTTGTGTTTTAGGCTGTGATGTTTTTGGACAGTGAGGACATTTTGTTCTTCAGAGGACTGTTTGAGGGTCCACATTTGATTTTATTTGATATTTTAGAATTCAGAGAATCAGGTTGAGTGTAGTGAAAGTCCAATGAGAGCCTCACACATATAGAAGGTACAAACATCAGTGTGTGAGGTCTGTGTGTCAAATGTTTGTTCCTAAAAAATTAGATATGTGAAACCTGAGCAGGATAAAGTGAATTTGGTCTTTTGTATCTGCAGCACTCAAAATAAACTTACCTTTCACTGATCTTGAGGGACGTTAATTTAGATCACATAGAACATACTAAAGATGTTGTAAGGATGTGAAGGTTCTGGTCTTACCAGGAAGTGGCAGAGGAAACTGTTGTTGGTGTAGTTGTCACAATTAGCTCAAAGACTACCTCAACCAACTAAAGACAAAAACAACCTACAGCACAAACAACACCACACTGAGCTTAAGCTACTTGAACTACTCTATATACACTTAGCTAATTTAGTCCAGTGGTTCCCAACCTAGGGGTCAGGCCCCCTCCAAAGGGTCACTAGATAAATCTGAGGGGTTGTCAGATGATTAATGGGAGAGGAAGGTTCTCAAACACAAATCTGTTTCCAGTTTTTGAAAATACTCTTCAAAATACTAATTATACGAACTTAAGTAAATGTTTTTACTTTATACCCATGATCTCAGATATTAAATGAGTATAATGTTATTGGAACTGCAATGATTAGTCAACTATTAAATTAATCGCCAACTACTTTGATTATTAATTAATCATTATGAGTCATTTTTTTTAAAGAAAATGTGTCCAAATTCTCAGATTTCAGCTTCTCAAATGTGAATATTTTCTGGTCTCTTTAGTCCTCTGCGACAGTAAACTGAATATCTTTGGGCTTTGGGAAACATTGATCAACATTTTCTGACATTTTATGGACCAAACAACTAGTTTAACCAATAATGAAGATAATAATTAGTTGCATTCATAGTTATTACTGCTGACAGGAATGATGGACAGGGTCATTAAAACAGGTTGGAATAAACCAGAATTGTGCTTTGACTGCACACGTGCTATGTTGTATTAGGTTAAGATAAAAGCAGAACTGTGTCCTATATATATATATATATTTTAGACTATATGATTAAATATATAAGAATATATGGATTTTCATTTTCTATTCACATGCTGATAAATTCATACAGTGAATCAATTAATTATTGAAATAGTGAAAAATGTCCATTCCAAAGACGACATCATCAGATGTTATTTGTCCGACCAATCATCCATAACTGAAAGATATTCAGTTCACTGTGATATAAGACAAGGAAAATCAGCAAATTAAACTAGTTACTGATTAGTTATGTTCTGTAATGTATCAATCTGACTAATCAGTTCACAAATTAATCAGTGCAGTTCTACTTCCTCACACAGCTTTCCTCAACGAAGGATAGAAATTCCTCAGATGGCCAAAAGCACATAAAAAAATGCAGTAAGTGAAGCTTGAGTTCACTCACCCAGTTCGGGCTGGGTAGTTCTCTCTCTCTCCCAGTGGGGGGGTCTCTGTCGCCCCAGGATAAAGCCTCTCAAAGTGAGGAGGGAACCCTAATCCTCCTCCTCCTGCTGCTGCTCTTCCTCCCATCTCCTCCTCCTCCTCCTCCACTTCAGGGTCTCGTGCTCTCACCTCACAGTGAGCGCTCACCAGCAAGCCCAGCACTAGCACCAGTTCTCCCACTGCTGTCATGTCTGCTCCCGTCCACATCACTGAGTGGAGCCTCGCACGACCACCAGCTGCTTTTAAACAGCTGGAGGAGAGAGAGAGCAAGGACGTGGGAGACCACACCTCCTGTTTCCTCGGCTGGTAGAGTGTTTATAACTCTCTCTCCATGTGGGGTGGAGGGAAGAATGCATTCAGTAGTTGCTGAGACATTTCAGTCTGGACCAAAGAGGTAGACGTACAAACTTTACTGCTAGCCTGCTATCAAGGCTAAAGATGAAAGTGTTTCATCTGTCTTCAGTAGTTCCATTGAGATAAGCAGTAGGTGGCTCCAATTCTCCAGCTGACAACCAAAAGAAGAAGGCGCAACAAGGTGACGCCATTAAAAGACCACCAGTTGAAGCTCGGACGGTAAAAAACAATCCAGAAATCAGGATGGAAATAGGACATTTCACTTGAGGAAGGTTGGATCTGTGTGGAGCGATCGTGGATGTTTTGTAGAGCAATGGGAATGAGGAGAATACTTTACATCACATCTATTTTAAAAAAAGTGTGTTAATGCCCTTTATTCACAAGAGGGCGGCCCACCTGCCCCAGCTTCTACTTTGAATGGGAGTCTTTTAAACTGAGTTAGAGGCACCAGTGGACATTATATGAAGATCTAATGCACTCACACTCCCTCCACAAACACACACACACACACACACACACACACACAATCAGAGTTAGCCTCTTTGAGCTACTAGCCAACTCAGGTACAACACAGCAAACAGCCATGAATGTGCTTCTAGTGACTGTAAAAGCTCCAGCGGACTCTTTCAAATTCTGAAATTTTTGGATGGATTTTTTTTTACATTTATTTAGCTGTTTTCATCAAACATATCTAATACAACACTTCAAAATATGATGATGGAAACACAGCTAGTGTGTCTGTATTCAAATATCACTTACTGATTTGCATTGAGTATAATTACACATTCACATCTTCTCAACAGCCTCAAGCAGTCAGATTTCTAATGGATGCAGTTATTTTTAGTGTGTGAACAAGTGTTTCATTTTTCTGTTTAGTTTTCTCTCTCTTATACAACTCTATGTACATACACTCTTCTATGGGGCCATTGTTGTAGCAGAACTCTTTACAAATGTGAGTGGAGAGTTGGCTCGAAAGTCCAAGTGCTCCAAGAGCTGGAAATAAGTGATCAGTTGTAACTCAGATGGGCCTCTCAATTGGCTTTTTACATGTCACTTTTACACACTTTTACTAATCTGATTGCACACACATGGATTGAGATGCAGTTACACAGCTCTCCACATTTGTAAATAGTTTTGCTACAATATTGGCCCCATACTCCTCCTGCACTCCTTTACTCCCCTCTGTCTTCAGCCTTTTCCTGTGGAAGTGATAAGAACAGAGGAAATCCACTGACCTGCAGAAGAAATGACCTCCTTCCTTTCTCTGTGTGTGCTCCAGTACTATCCATGTGGGGGCCATTTGGCTTAGTGTGGACATTCTTCAAAGGGCTGAAGGAGGGTTAAGACTTTTAGACACTGCAGGCAAAAACATTGTTTCTTCATCCACTGTTAAATTGTGAGACTTGGGGCTATGTTGTTTTCTTTCAGACGAGTGGAAAATACATGTTTAAGTGTTTTTACCACACTTTGGCTATTTGCAGTGATTGCAAAGATTTTTTCTAAATTCACAAAAAGTTTGCATCAGTTAATGCCCCATTTTAACATTTAATTATACATTTTTAGAAAACTTGTAAAATAATTAAGCCCGGTCCACATTGCATACGAGAGCAGTGTAGCTGTGTGTGTCGTGGAATGCCTTTTATTTCATACTAATGAAATGCTAATAACCGAATAAATGAAGCATGAAGTGACTCTTCAAGAAGTCAATGACACGCAGATAATTGCAAAAGGCATTACAGGACTGTTAAAGGACTGACAGAAATCAATGTGCTACAAGCGGAAAAACACCCCCTTCAGGAGGAGAGCGATATTTTATATGGGTCCTCTTTTGATGAGACATTAACAAAGGCAGAGGACTGCAGGAACGTCAATTAACTGACAGTTGTAGTCACTATCATCGACAGGAAAAGTCATTATCTCACAAGGAATAATTGACCACTTCAAGGACGCGGGGCCCAGCACGGGCAAACTGCAGCCACTGTGTTTTGTACTTTGGTATTTGTTATTTTGTGCTTTTTGTTTGATTTGTTTGCATTTTTAGTTTTTTACAGTTGTAGCATATTTGCTTCAATTATTTTTAGCTCACTTCTATTAATACAGCAAACTGTTTTACATCTATAACTCTTGATGCAGTAGGAGAACAGATACGTTTGTTGATTTGGTCTCCCCTTCTGTGTTCAGCGTTGAGAGGCAGTGACCGACTGGAGCTCCCACCAATCCATCTGGATCGGACCCTGGACTTTATGAACTGGGATATTTTCTTTCCACTGCCACCATTTTATTCCTTAAGAGACTTGCACTTTAAATCTGCGTGTTAACTTTAGCTTGTGGTATTTGTTTTGTTGTTGTTGAACTTGTCTTTAGATACTAAATTAAGTTGTTCTTTACCAAATATCTGTCTGCATGCTGT